TAAAAATGATTGAATAGAATTTATGTATCTTCATTATTAAAAACGTTTTCAATTGAAATAACTTCAAACGTTCAGAATCAGATTCGCATTAAAAGTTAACATTTTGCAACTCATTTTTTTTTGTAGCATGATAAGAAAGATGTGTGACACCGTACCGAACAATTCTTTTTAACTCGAAGATTGCGTAAGCAATCGAAGAGTTATATGACGGAGATAGATGATGGAGTTGGAGGTGGGCTAGTTAATAAGTCACTTATTAACTTATTAATAAGTCACTTATTAACTAGTAGACACACGGGCATTTAGAAATCCGTAACCAAGATGGCGGACGACTCGGTGTCTTGGTACAGAAATGGCTTTTAAACACACAAAATGTGATTTTTGATGTCTGGACGTTCTTGTATAAGCTTCTTACCAGTTAATCTGTTGATTTCACAAGTCGTTTTAGAAAATATTGTGTCAATATGACACTTAGCACAGCATTGATTTCAAGGATTATTCGCCGATCTTCGTCGATCAGTCAGTTATACTCATCGATTCATATAAACTTTATCCTTCGTAAAAAATCGATACACGGACGACACTAAACCAAGTTGGAACTCACAATATAAATTTTAACGGTCAGCATTCAAAGTGAAAGTATCATTACTTCAAGCTAAAAAATTGTAAGTTGAATTCTTAGGAGCAAAAGTTATTTTTCTTTGACAAATAGCTTTCGCCGAGACTTCAAAAAATCTTGTAACAGCCATAAACTTTACAAATGTAAATCACTCCAACGTAACGATTTTCGTACGTACAGGCCAGGRACTACCAAGAATAGTGAAAACTAGTTTCGTTTATTAAAACCTCTTCAGTTCACTATATGTTTTACAAAGCTGGGTGATTTGAGAAAATGCGACTAGCCAATCAGCGCAAAGCTGACAAGCTTATGTTGTAAACATAACCCTCCGACGGRAGGAATTTGCACAACAAAACTCGACCCAGTGGAGTAGGCTGCCTGTCATTTTATTCTATCCGAAAAATCGAAGCTAAAACGCAAAGAGAAATTGAAAATCTTTATAAAATAGCTTTTAAATGTCAATCAAATATTTATCGTTATAGAAAGAGAATTTTATCTTAAAAATGAAAAAACAAATAACTTTTTCTTTAATACCACGAGACTCCCCTCCCTGATAGAAATAATTGTTCTGTGTTCTACGCGGGTTCTCCATTGCATGCGAAGCA